CTTTCTCCCTTGGAATGTCTGGTGGGTTTGAACAGCGGATCTTGCATTTAGCAGTCCAATGCTTATCCAAAAACATCATGAAGGCTCCTCTTCTAGCTATAAGTCTCCATTTGGGGATGTACTGTAAATGCTAGCTTCTTTACCTGTGGTTATAGTCCTGTTTGGGTGGGAGTTTTCTGGTATGCTAATGATGCAGGATTAGTGTGGGACAGATCTTGAATCCCTGTGTTACTAGGCAGGATGTGACTCAAGCTGCCACCCTTCACTTCCTTGGGTGTTGTCTGCATATTTAGCAGTCACCTTTGATATCTAGGTTAAAACTAACTTCCTGATCTAAGTTGTTCTCTTAAAGACAAAACACCAGCTTCCGGCTTAAGTAAGCAGGAGGCTGAGGTTACAGACCTGGTTGAGACAAGACCTGACCCCACCAAATATGTGCAGAAGTGATCAGTGTGTCCTCTACCTAACCTTTGGATGTCAAAAGGCAAAAACTAAACCTCCATCAAAGCCTTGGATATGGGACAAGGTGCCATCTTTGTGAATCTCTCTTTCTGGACTGAGCATGTAAAAAAGATAGTGCTGAATTATCCCAACGAATATCAATTACGCAGACACCAATTACTACCCTAAATGGGTTCCTGGCTCAGGACTCAGAGAGCCATGTTGGTGACTCCAGTATTAATCTGTGCCTTTGCTGGGCCAACCTTGGCACGAGAGGCAAATCCTTTAAACTGACCGCTGAACTATGGATTTGCAACTTGCCAGGCACCACAACTATGAGCATTTTCTTGATGGTTCAGGAGTTCTGTGAGATGTCACACCAAACTGCAGACCTCTGGGATATGAAGGAGAATACTAATGGAAGAAGTGGTGGTTGATATGAGTGATGATGAACAGGTATAGAATTTTGGAAAAGTTAAGTCATTTGGGACACACTTAACGTCCATCTTATTGGGACCAGCCTTGTGCTGATCCTTCTAAAAGAAATTATTTTTGTATAGAACAAATTCTAAGTATATCCTGAGATTTAGGTTCCCCCTAAAGCAGTGGTTCTCAACCTTCCTAGTGCCGCAACCCTTTAATACAGTTCCTCACGTTGTGGTGACCCCCAACCATAAAATTATTTTCGTTGCTATTTCATAATTGTAATTTTGCTACTGTTATGAATTGGTTGACCCCTGTGAAAGGGTCTTTTGACCCCCAAAAAGATTGTGACCCAAAGGTTGAGAACCGCTGCCCTAAAGGATAGGCAAAGTTTGCTCACCTAAACTCATGTTACTGAGGTTTTAATAAAGTATGGCATGAGTAAGCCAACTTGAATATTGCTTCTTGATAAATTATTCACCTGAAGTTTAGCAGCTCCTCCTTTCATAAGACCACAGATAATTTCTTCTACTCTTGTAAGGTTCTTGATGTGAACAGAACTTTTCTGGAATTCTGGCATCTAAAAATAAACAGAAATGATACATGTAGAAACTTGTACTATTTAAAGATATCCATTGAGGTATTTTTTTAAAAGTCCCTGTATTAGATTACCACTCACACACGCTACACAAATGCTTAAAGCACACTTGTAGTTTGTATCTAGATTAAGGCAGAACTATATTCACAATTCATTTACTTTATCAGATAGTATACTTTTTTTAATCATAAAAGTAATGCACATCCCAAAATTACAGAAAACATTTAAAAATGAAAAAACTCGACTTACTCCAAAATAAAAAAAGCAGACATTATAGTTTATTCCCCATCAATTTCATTTCTGATTGCATACAGAAGTATATGCAGTTTCATCTCATTCATGTTATGCTTCACATCTGTCATTGTAAAATAAATGTTATTACAGTTATAGTAAGATGTTTTACTTAAACAGAACTCACTAATCAAAATAGAACCCCAGAACTGAATGACAATTACTGTATATAATCGAGTATAAGCCTACCTGAAAATCAGCCAAGGCACCTAATTTTACCCAAAAAATTGCATTTAAAAATATGCTGAAAAACTTGGCTTATACACGAGTATATACCGTAATCTGTGAACTTTGACACCATGACTTCCTAATCAAGCCTTTCTCTTAACGTTCAGCTTTATCCATATTTAAACTCTTAAATATTAATGAAGAGAAGTAAGCATTACATGATTCTGTCCCATTAGTTTGTATTTCGGTGTAAATCAATATGATATATTTTAAATATTTCAAGTTTAAAGAACTGCTTCAAAATCTGTATGCCCAGAAGTGCTGGTTGTTGGTCGTTGCTGTCGTGTCAGCTCCAACTTACAGCACCCTCCTGTTGAATAGCACCGAACACGGCCAGGACTTGTACCATTTTTGTGACCACATGCCATTTTGGTTTGCATCTATCACTGTGGCTTTTGTGTTACTCCATCTCAATAGGCACTTCCTTTGTTTCTGTTGGTCCGTCCACATTATCAAACTTGGTGTGCCCTTTTGATGGGGGTCAGTCTTCCAGGATGACAACTCCAGAATAAGCAAGTGGAATTCTTGCCATCCTCATTTCTAAGGAACATTCTGGTTGCATTTCTTCGAAGACCAGTTTGCTTGCTCAGTCTTCTTTGTCAGCACATTTCAAATGCATCCACTCTTCTGTCTTACATAATCCAACTTATGCATAGGACACAATCAAATTTACCAAGGCACACCTAGTCATCAAAGGGACATCTTTGCTTTTTAAAACTTTGAAGAGGTCTTTAGCAGCAGGTTTGTCCAAAGGCGAAAAGTTATTTGATTTCCAAGCTGCTGTTTCCCTGGATGACGATGCTTACCTACCCGCCAACCAAACCACTGCCATTGGGTTGATTCTGACTCTCAGAGACTCTTTAAAAAAAAAAAAAA